TTTATTTAGATCCCTTGATACTGACTACCTGACAACTTTGAGAGCTTAGATTTAACAGTACTCATGATTCTGAAATGAGTAGCTGTCATGAGCGTTTTCTATAATGACAAACACAGATAGTTTTAAATATCATACAGCATTCTAAGGCCCACCACTTCCTTCCACCTCTATTGGCACACAGGACTTAGAATTGTAGTTGGATGTGTGCTGGGTGGTCACAAGACTCAGGTAAGCACTGGTGCACAGTTTATCCTCCTTCTGTGAGGGTCTTTCAGGCAGGCAATGACAAGGGAAAACATTCTTTTTAAAGTGAAACCTGCAAAATTTGGCAGAAAAACTCACAGGAGGCGTTGTACCAGAAACTTATTTTCTGTAAACTAAATATAAAATTGACTCCATCAACTTGAAATTCTCAGTTTCTGTTAAATTTCAGAAAATTGTTATAAGCCAGGAGTTGGGAAAGTTCCACGATTTACCATCAACTACAGCAAGCTGCTTCTGAAAATAAATCCCTGACTACACTGGCTAGAGAAGTAAGAAGATGAGGTGTGCTCATGAATCATGTTTTGAGATTTTTAAAATCAGTAATTAGCGCAACACAGTGACCAACACAACTATTTTTAGTGCTGTGTATTTAAAAAGTAATTTACATTTAGATATTATTAGATGTGCATTTACTTTCAAACCAGAATTAGACAAAGTTTTAATCACTAAATATAAAGATGCATTTTAGCATATGGTTTATAATTAGCATTTGTAATTCAAGCCATAAACAATATAACTAACTACATTTATTGGTGGAACTTTACTTCCCACACATGTTCAATCACTTTTAATTATTTCCCCAGTAGTCTACAACTCAGTACAGTACAGAAAATGTGTGCCTACACTGCAGTATCTGCATAACAGTTTCTGTACACTCACTTACGATGTCATAGATCTGTGCTGCTCTTCTTAACGTCTCGTGGCCACAAACATGAAAACAAAAAGTTGCAAATACCAAATGAAATATTAGATGTGGCATACATTTGAAAATTGTAGCCAAGTATTACTGGCTTATTTAATAAAGGAATTCCAAACCATAGCTTGACTTCTGTTGTAAGATCAAATTCAAAGCAAAGACCATTTGTTAGGTATAAACAAAAATGCTTCTCCTTTTTTACTGACTTCACCACTGCTGGTCAGTTACTTTGTTGTGAGTTTGGTTTCTTTACCGAAATGAGTGGCAGGTACCTACATTCCAGCGCTGGATGTGGAGAACCAACGAGTAGAGGAGAGGTAGAGCTGAGCTGTTTTTTCTGTATCTTTTCCCTTAGAAACTGCACACAAAGGAGCACCTGGACTTTCTTCTGCCCTTAACAGGGCTGAAAGTTTTCCCGTGCTGCTTCTGAACAGCAGCTCTGTCTTGATTTGCCCACATCATGCTACTGAACTCCATCAGTAAGCCACTGCTTCACATCAGGTTTCTTCTTTGCTTAACATGAATGTGTCAGTTCTGTATCAAGTGCCTTACACAATGAGGAAGTGATGAACTTAAGATCTCTGGTGATTGAGACAATTTTAAATAACTGGGATAGATCTAGCAGCACCAAACATGCAAAATGAGTTTAAAAGATTCATTGAAAACTCAATGAATCGATGAATCAAAACTTTTCTGTCTTTTTGGCTTGTTTTTTCTTTTTCTTCCTGAAGACGCAATCAAACGCACCGGGCCCAGGCATAAACCTCTGCTCCAAATTAAAGCCATGTGCCTCACAAGACAATCCTGTAAGAGGAGCAGGGTCAGGAGCAGCTGTGCAGAGGGTCTCTGTAACTTCTGTAACCTACACTGCTATAGATTGCTTGATCCAAAATGCTTGTATAGCAAGTGTAGGGGTGGTGTGGCTGCTACATGGTGCAGCTGCTATACTACCCCCATCATCTAGCCCCAACAAAGCATGAGAGAAAATGAACAAATACATATTTGTTCAGTATACTGTACTGCTTCCCCAGTATACTTCAGTATACTTACTGACAGTAACTGCCCATCAGCTGCTCCATTTCTTTCTCTCTTTCTCTCTCTCTTTCTCTCTCTCTTTCTCTCTCTCTTTCTTTCT